ACATTAACGAGAACAGCAACCATTTCTTCCTTAACTTGTGGATAAATGCCGTTTTTCTTGAATATTGTTCATTTATCCTCGTGGATGTAGTCTGTCACTACTATAAAGCCTCTCTGCTCCAGCTTTTTTATTGCTTCTTTCCCTATTGGGCTTTTGGTGTTTTGACTGAATCAACAGAGCAGTGTTCTGTTCTCATTCATGATTCTTGTGCAACATTAGGTGTTTGATCATTTTTTTCCTCTTCTACTTTTCCTTCATATCACAGTGACTACTTCTTCAGACTTGTCTGCTCTGACTTTCTTCTACTCTTTCTCCCGTCTTTCAGGCTCTAGTCTGCCATGCCTAGTCTTCTGCGCTTTGGGAGACTACTTCTGTAGCTTTAGATAAACCCCAAATGCTAGGTCTCAGCCTTCAGCTGTGGATCTTACTTCTTCAGCTTTCCTTTAACTCATCTCTCTAACCTCTTGCTCTGTTGCAGTCTGTTCTAAAAGGTTTTTTCTTTTCCCTCCAGATCTTTTGCACCACATCCTCTCACTTTCACCACACACGATTGTACTGTCCTTTCCAGTGCTCCCAATTTTATTCTTCTTCTAGTTCTCCTTTGTGTAGACAGTGCATATGTGACTTCCATCTCTTACCACCAGATCAGCATTTTTAGCTTCCAGTTCAAAACCTACATGCATGCCTGTTATCTTTTGCTTTGATGTAACCTCCTCCTGCTCAGCCACCTTCTCCCCTTCTCCATTCTCTGCTCGATCGGAATTGTCCCCGCAGCCATCGTGGGCCACAGCGGGTGTGGAGGGTGCAGCTCCGTGGGCCTTGCTGACACTCTGCAGATTAATACAGGCTGAGCACCTGGCCTGTCGCGGTGTCCCTTAGGGTGCCTGCAGCTGAGAAGAATGACAAATGGAGGTATGCTGGTCTGATTTTAAAGGATTAAGTATCAAATGCTGTTACTCAAAATGCATTTGCAGCCTGCCTCGATGTTAAACATACCAAAGCAATAATACAGGTATGGTTACTATTCTTTCTGCTATATCCAGCTCGCTGGTAATTTGTAGATCAGTGGTCTCATGTGCTCTTGTAGCATTCCTACTGCTCACCGTTCCTGATCTTCTCAGATTTATGTACAGACTTCCCCATTCAAATTCAGTTATTAATCTAATAAGTGGTAACAAAACAATAAAGCTCATGTATTTAAACTACATTCTCATGTAATAGCTGTGTCTGGGGAACTGGCCCTCTTGGATACAGTGAGTATCGTGGCCTGCAGCTGTTTTCTTCTAAATCTCTTTTTTTAAAATGTTTGCAAAAGTCTGTATTTGTGATTTCCTACTCTCCTGGCTTTAGAGGAGTCATGAAGTATTTCTCATACTAATGAGACAGACTGAACTCTGGTGTTCCTTGTGGTATCTGACTATAGTTTTCACTGACACCTTCACCACTAATCACATATCTGTATTTCACAGAACATTAGTTAAGCTAAATATTAAACATAAGTCCCAGAGATTGCATTGTGGATGCATTAAGAGTTTCTGGAGAGCATCCCATTAGGTTCTCGGTGCACTGCAGCCTTAAGATCTAATCAGCATCCCTCTTTGGATTACAAAGCAACCCAAAGAAGTTGTTATGCTAATCTGTGTATGATCTTATAATATTTGACTCTCTGTAGCCACAATCGGTGCCCTGTCAAGCATTCCCATAGCAGAAGGACGTTTGCAGAGAAATAAGCCAAGTAATTGACCTGACAGGATGAGCAACCACTTCCTTTTGAATAGATACTTTGTACACTGAAGGCTGGGATGTGACTGTGCGAGTGGAAAGTCCAAAACGAACCTTCACATTTTTTTGGCTTTGTTTTTTTTGTTTCACAAGAGAATATATGAGAGAGAGATTTGGATTGATGCATAGGTAGCAATCCACTTAGGGCTTTGCTTGTGTTGTAAAATGGATGCTCACAGTCTGGTAGTCTGTAAACATCGTTGGGGTCAAGGGCCCGAGATGCACCTTTGTGCTTACCTCTTGGGTGCATGGAATAGATACCTTTCATAAACACATGCACTAAAAGAGAAATACTTCAGTATGTTGTGTTGGAAAATTATAAAATAAAAAATAAATATTTAAATAAAAAATAAAAAATTATGCCATTTTAAATTACTGCTGTTTTCATCTTTTTTGGATTTGTGGTTTTGTAATGTGTCACAAAACATATCTAAATAGTCTTAGAGCCTTTGCTGCTTTTTCTCAGATAGGGTATGGCCTCACTTGGTTCCCTAAATACTTTGCATGCTGGAGACCAGAGCCAGCTTTTAGATAACGAAGTGCTGGAACCTCACGTGAAGGGTGAGATCTGTGCTGTAATCAGTGATTCTGTGATCTGTGTGTGCAGTGGCCAGATTCAGTTTGATTTGAATGGGCCCAGGATTTCACCCTGAAACTCCAGGCCAAGGTTGCCATTGGGAAGCTGCAAAATGCAGCTCTAACTTTAATGAATAATTCTTTCTGAAGTGAATGCTGGCAGTGCCTGGGATAGGACTGTTCCCATAAGCAAAGACTACTTGTGCAGGATATGAAATCCTGCTTACGCTAGATCCACTCTGCTGGCGTTGAGACTGGGCTCATAACCTCATAATGATCTGATCTTGCTGCAAGAGTCACACAATCTATGGGTGAAACTGCCAAAGAAATCCCTGGAAAGATCTCCCATGAGAGGGGTGAATACAGTGTGTTCCTACTGCTCCTGGGCTGGATTATTCCTGGGCTAAACCAGGCCCCTGCTCCAGAAGAGCTGTGGGGAGAGATGGAGTCAACCTTTTCCTTATCTTCATGTATCAGTTTGGGAAACAGGCTGTACTCACTTATTCCCATATCTGTAGATTTTAATCTTGATTTAGGACATGAAAGGAAGGGAAACTTGTGCCCCCATTCACCTTGTAGTGAACAGGTCGCTTGTGGTTTGCAGTATTGTGTCAGCAATATGATCACGTGTAGTATAGTAAAGTGACTGTTGCTTACAACAATTTCCCTTCTGTCTCCCTCAGGAAACCAGCAATAGTACTATAGCTTCTGCAAAGATACCAAGGATGATTATAACTGTTCTGGAGCTTGATGTTGGTGCCAGTGATGTCACTACATCAGGAGGGGTTGTAAATAAATAAATAAAATGTGGCATCTTTTCAGCCTTCTAACTTGTGAAAGGAAAATGTGGATTGAAGTTATTCAGCTCAGCCTACGTAGGTGGCTTTGCATTCTGTTTACAAGCCATACTCAAGCCTTATTCAATCCAAGCCTGAGTGATCTTGAATTGCTTAAACCAATTATTAATTCATATTTTTTTATTTAGGGGTCTCATGGTGGCATCAGTCTTTCTTTTTTTCTTTCCTTCCGTGTACAAAAACAAGAATATGAGTGTAAGGATACATGGAGTCATCAGGCAACAGACATATGCTTTCCTGTGCTCTCTGCAGGGCTTGCAGGTTCAAACACAACCTGCCTGAATCATAAGAACTTTAATTGAGTAGATAAAGAGGTCCTCATAATTATAAACTGCAGTAGGTATAACAAGAGGCTAAATACATAGCTGTGGTTTTAATTAGCTGGTGCTTCAAATTAGTAATTGTGGTTTCACTCAGAAATCAGTGACTTTATACACTGTTAAAGCCTCATCACTGTGCAGTTCATTCCTCATTATATCTCTCGGTGTGAAGCTTTCAATACAACATCATGCTGAGCTAAAAAGGCAAAAGTTGTAGATATTTGGTTATCTTCCAAGTGCAGTGGAGCTCTATGGAGATTTAATTCATTCTCGCCAGAGATAGGAGAATTACCCGTTCTTTGTTACATATGTAATGTGCGTGTTTGTATGTATGCATTTGTACATAGAGCGTGTGCATGGATGTGTGCACGCATGTCCAGAATCTATCAGGGAAATACTGCTTACAGCAGATAACATCAGTGCGTGCACTGAATCTGCTATTCAAATTGTCATCTGGAATTTGGTAGCTAATTAACTGACACAAAGCAGAGCCAAAAGCCTCATAGCAAATCAAATATGGGTTGAAAGCACAGAAGTGTCCCTTAATGCTTGTCACATGAGGGGTTGTCAGTGCAAGTTGAAGCATGCATCTTTTCCTTTCCTCTTTCCTATTTTTCCCCCTCCTTCAGGGTTTTAATTATATCTTTTCCCTCAGAGGAGCAGGAGGTAGTTTGCAAAGCCAAGAGACCAAAGTACTTCAGTGCTATTCAGAGGAGAAGTGAATGTGGTCTCTCAGCTTGTCATCTGGGTCTGGCAGGTGCACAAAGTAAGCTGACATATAGATAAGTGCCACTCGCCATTGCTACGCTGAGGCGCTAGATCCTTTTCTGTTTGTTTGTGTGTGGAATTATCTGATACTGGAATCAACTATCCTAAAGTCTCTTCCGGGAGCCTGCTACAAAAACACTTTTTAAAATACCCTTGACACCCACAATGAAGGCGTACATAAATTTTAACAAGTACATGGGACAGAATTAGGTGGTCTAAATCACATGAGGCTGAACTGGAGCATTGGGATGGATGGAGACAAGCGTTACACTGTTAAATGGATTTGAAGATGTTGCTGTGTTTCCGTGACTTCACATTTGCTTTCTCTACACAGACATACTCTTTGTGGGCACACACGCATGCGTGTGCGTGTGTGCGCGCATGTATCTTACAGGCTGTTCGTACAAATGCGTCAAAATGTATTTTATTCTTCTGCATAATGCTCTGTTAATTTGAAAAGAACATTTTTGTCTGTTTTTGTTTTAGAAGTGTACTGACTGTCCTATTGCCCAATTTCATATAGTATTATGATTCCAAATTTACACTTGGGAAAATTATTCAGAGGCTGCTTCTTTCTTTCAGAATTGTCCCCAGGAGTTGCATTGTTTCTGATGTTTTGCTGCTCTTACTGATAGTAATGAACATGTAACTAAATTGTGGGGAAAATAACGTGTTGTCGTCTTTTGTCTTTCTCCAGCCACTATGAGCAAGACCGGAGTGCACTTAAGCGGAAAGAATGGGAGAGAAGAAACCAGGAAGTCCAGCAAGATGAAGATCTCTTTGCTTCAGGTTTTAACCTCTTTGGGGAACCCTACAAGGTAAATTGCATTGTTATGCTTGACATTTTCAGAATGTCTTTTACCTGAATGCATTTTACACATACAAATAAAGCTTCTCATCACCTGTAAGAAACGAAAGTGTCGCACCTGCCTTGGTACTTATACTCTTGAATACGCTGACTATCTAAATCAGCATACAGCAGCAGAACAAACTGAACGCTCTGCCTAGCATTGCATGCTAGCATTGACAGAATCAGGAATTCTGGTTACAGTCCAGTTCAAGATTTCTTCCTTCAAACACACACCAAAGTCCTGCAATAGAAGTATGTGCAGCTGATATCTCTACCAGTGGGTTTGTACCTGCAAAGCTACCACTTAGTCCTTTTAATTTTAAGAAGAAACTATACCTGAGTAGTTAAAACCGATGTTCTCTCTATGGATAATGAGTCCATAAGCTTTCTTGTGCAATCATAGCCATCCAAAAAATTCTTTTGGGAGACTGTCCAAATCTTTGGGGAGCATAACAAGCATATGAAAGGGACTTATGACAAGTCTTATTCTCTCTAAGGAGCTTTGCTGCCTGAGATTTTCATCACCAAGGGATGTCCCCCTTTATGATTTCTGCTGCTTTGATTTTCAGTAAGATATTCCCTGAAGAATTCATCAGAATGTAAATTTCCATATCTTTTTCTCCTCCCAATCAGTGACATCCATTGAAAGGCCACCACTTCATCTTTCCATTTTACATTGTTAGCAGCTATAGGGAGAATGAGGGGTCTTTGAAAATTGCCTGAAAAGGAGGAGGAAAGACTGGCATTATTATCAAATGGTGTCTAATAATTATAGACTGGGAGAGTGTGATGGATACACTTGACTCCTAGCTGTACTTTGGTTCAGGGTGGCTAAGGAGCAACAGGCCTCACATGCTTGGAGTGAACTTGCAAGCTGGAAAGCCCCTGGCTGATGTACAAGGGAGTGAAGGTGTCTTGAAAAATATTTCAAAAGGTGATTTCAGAACCCAAAAGTGCAAGATGACCAAAGTACAGAACAAGATACCAGAACTAAAACAAAGGCATCTATCTTGTCTGTACTATTGACTAGCAGCCAACTACTTCACCACCCAATATTACCATCAGGATGGGCCCAATTTGAGCTCTCCCTGAATTGCAGCTGAACTGCACGCCAGGTGACTCTCCCCTTGAGCAGGGATGCCTCTCAAGGGTAGAGATTCCTCACCTGAGACTAGGAGATCCTTCCTTACCCAAGGTAGAGAGATCCCTTGCCCACGACAGATCCTTGCTAAGTGACTGATAGCATGCTGAGTTAAAACTAATGAAACATTACCAATCCATGTAGCTACTCAATATTACTGTAAATATTATATGGATAATTCCATTAGACATAAACCGTTGACCAAGTCTGACACTATGATTGGTCCCAGCTGCACCTGGGGGTGTTTGGGGTCCACTCTGAACCTCATGACTCAATGGGAGGATCCTCCTTACTCTTTGTGTCTCTGATGTCTCTGTGAATCATTCTAAGTTGATTCTGACTCAATTTTCCTTTGTATGTTTCTTCCATGCAGTAATTAATAAGGTGAATCTTGCCATCAAATTTATTGGACCCTGTCAAATTATTATTTTACTTCAATAAAACATACTGCTGCTTTTCTCTTTTGAGTGAGGTGCATTCCACTCATCTATGACAGAAACTTATTCAGCCAAATAAGGACTATGCACTAGGACAGTTTGTTTGTGGGGTCTTTTTTGTTTTGTTTTTATAAAAATCTAATCAATGCACTATTTCTGCATTGGGCCATATTTTAGCACCTTTATTTATGGGAATAATAACCTACTATGAACTGATTTTGTTGAGACTTCCTGCAGGTCCTGCAAACGTTTTTGTTCATGTAAGTGGTCATTTGGATTTCAGTAGGTAGACCAATATGCAAATCACTGCCAAGTTTTGTGTCTTGAACTGAAAATACACCCCCTCAATATCTATTGTACCATAAGAATGATAATATCTGATTTTACATCTGTTTATTGTGCATTTATTTGCACCAAACATGCACAGAGCATATGTTTTGTCAAACATATGTCTCTTCTGCCTGAGGAGAAGGACTTGGGGGTGTTGGTTGATGAGAAACTCAACATGACCCAGCAATGTGCACTTGCAGCCCAGAAAGCCAACCACATCCTGGGCTGCATCAAAAGAAGCGTGAGCAGCAGGTCAAGGGAGGTGATTCTCCCCCTCTACTCCACTCTTGTGAGACCCCGCCTGGAGCACTGCGTCCAGCTCTGCGGCCCCCAACATAAGAAGGACACGGACCTGTTGGAGCGAGTCCAGAGGAGGGCCATGAAGATTATCAGAGGGCTGGAGCACCTCTCCTATGAGGACAGGCTGAGAGCGAGTTGGGGTTGTTCAGCCTGGAGAAGAGAAGGCTCCGGGGAGACCTTCTAGCAGCCTTCCAGTACCTGAAGGGGGCCGACAAGAAAGCTGGAGGGAGACTTTTTACAAGGGCATGTAGTGATAGCACAAGGGCTAATGGCTTTAAACTGAAAGAGGGTAGATTTAGATTAGAAATAAGGAAGAAGTTCTTCACCATGAGGGTGGTGACGCATGGAACAGGTTGCCCAGAGAAGTTGTGGATGCCCCATGCCTGGAAGTGTTCAAGGCCAGGCTGGATGGGGCTTTGAGCAACCTGGTCTGGTGGAAGGTGTCTCTGCCCATGGCAGGGGCGTTGGAACGAGATGATCTTTAAGGTCCCTTCCAATGCTAGCCATTCTATGAAAAACTGAACAACTAAAAAGCAAAAAAATTGTCCTGGTGATTTTCCTGAGCAAATTTCTTTTTTTAATTGCTTGGCAGAAAAGTTTGTCATATTTGTGGGATTGAGCAAAATATAATGTATTGCTATCCTAAAAAAGCATTATAATTATTAATTGCAAAAGATAAAAATTAAGAGGAAATTGCATACAAAAATAATTACATCTGTCTTAAGTTTGCAAAACAAAGAGAACTAAGAGTGAATAGGAAAGCTAGGTCTTGCCCACATTTTACACTACAGGGGAAAAAAAAAGAACAAAGTGATAGACTGGTATTTCCTTTGTAAGTTCTGCGTTGCAAAGAACCGGCCACAGTACAGTTTCCTAGGAACCAATGAAAGCTGGATCTAACTCTTAGTGGATATGTAGTGACTTGTATTCTTAAGCAAGTGTAAAACTAAATTCATGGGTTTGTTCATGTTTATTCTAAAATAAAATGAGGAGGCCATGAGGTGCGAACAAGTGTGCTGCACGTGCAGTTTGAATTCCTTTTCCATTTTGAGATGAACAGATGTTTCTGTGTGGATGAGACTCAAGGCCTGGTGCACACAAGCTGCTCCCACCTTGTCTCTTCTCGTTGCTCTCAGTGGGAGCAGAATGAGATAAAACACTGCCCAGCAAAGTCAACTGTTGTGGCCTGTGGTGTGCACAAGGTCCACATCCTCAGCTGGGCTAGCTCTACTAAGGTGTTGGGTTTGTGTGGCAAGGTTTTGGTAGCGGGGGGCTATAGGGGTGGCTTCTGTGAGAAGCTGCTAGAAGCTTCCCCCATGTCTGACAGAGCCAATGCCAGCCAGCTCCAAGATAGACCCACCGCTGGCCAAGGCTGAGCCCATCAGTGATGGTGGTGGTGCCTTTGGGATAACATATTTAAGAAGGGGAAAAAGTTTCTGCTCAACAGCAATTGCAGCTGGAGAGAGGAGTGAGAATATGTGAGCCGAACAGCCCTGCAGACACCAAGGTCAGTGAAGAAGAAGGGGGAGGAGGTGCTCCAGGCTCCACAGCAGAGATTCCCCTGCAGCCCCTGGTGAAGACCATGGTGAGGCAGGCTGTCCCCCTGCAGCCCATGGAGGTCCATGGTGGAGCAGATATCCACCTGCAGCCTGTGGAGGACCCCACGCTGGAGCAGGTGGATGCCCAAAGGAGGCTGTGACCCCATGGGAAGCCTGCACTGGATCAGGCTCCTGGCAGGACCTGTGGACCCGTGGAAACAGAGGAGCCCACACTGGAGCAGGTTTGCTGGCAGGACTTGTGACCCCACGGGAGACCCACGCTGGAGCAGTCTGTTCTTGAAGGACTGCACTCCGTGGAAGGGACCCAGGCTGGAGCAGTTCGTGAAGAACTGCAGCCCATGGGAAAGATCCTTGTTGGAGAAGTTTGTGGAGGACTGTCTCCCGTGGGAGGGATCCCATGCTGGAGCAGGGGAAGAGTGTGAGGAGTCCTCCCTCTGAGGAGGAAGGAGCAGCAGAGACAATGTGTGATGAACTGACCGCAGCCCCCATTCCCCGTCCCCCTGCGCCGTCGGAGGAAAGCAGGTAGAGAAATCATGAGTGAAATTAAGCCCGCGAAGAAGGGAGGGGTGGGGGGGAGGTGTTTTAAGATTTGTTTTATATTTCTCATTACCCTACTCTGATTTGTTTGGTAATAGATTAAACTAATTTCCCCAAGCTGAGTTTGTTTTGTCTGTGATGGTAATTGGTGAGCGATCTCTCCTTGTCTTTATCTTGACCCATGAGCCTTTAGTTATGTTTTCTCTCCCCTGTCCAGCTGAGGAGGGGAGTGATAGAGCGTCTTGGTGGGCACCTGGCATCCAGCCAGGGTCAACCCGCAGCAACTAATGAGCATCAGCTCAAGGGATGGCTGGTATGTTTCTGAAAGCTCTGGGGGCGGGAGGTAAGATGGAGACTACAGTGGCAAAGGGAAGGTTGGGAATATCTGGTCTCAGGAAATAGAAAATGTCTCTTTTCCTTTCTTTTATTCCCATACCTAGTGCCCTAACTTGCTTATCATTCATTCCTCATTTGCTTCAACAGTAACCCAGGGAAGGGACTCTTGGGGTAGGGATACAAACACTACTGTTTTGGTGTTTTAAAGACTGAACAACTGGCAGCTGTTTTAAGACCTCTCTAAAGTTGGGGATATTAAAATGGTCAAAGAAAGGAGGCTAAATTTTCTTATGGAGCTTACTGCCATTGTGTATCATGAGATGTGTGGAATATCTGCCTCCATCTATCATCTCTGCTCTAGCTGTTACAGCATCTTTATTTCTGTCCCTCTGTCAAATAAAACGTAGGTGGTCACTATAGTTTTGGACCAGTGCATACTTATACATTGATTCTTTGTGGTATGTGTATGCGTACACATACATGATGATATATTTATTTCTGTGGGTATATAAAATACATTTGTACACGTTTATTAAAAGATGAAAGTGTTCTTTTGAAGCTCTGCTGTCTCGTGTGGGAAAAGAACACCTTTGACGATGTGATGACACCCAGTGTTATTTTGGGAAGGTTGGGCAGCGAGGGCTGTGTTGCCCTTGAACGCGAGTTACTGACATGTGGGTTGCAGGTCTTGCCTTCGAACTCCGGGGCAGCCTGCTAATGCTTGATTTTGCAGAAGCGACCAGAGAAGAGCCTGCAGTGTTACGACAACAGATATTTGAAAAAGCAATGTCAGAGTTTTCCTGAGAGAAGCTGCAATTTTACTACTGAATTGTTGATACCTTTTAATGTTTTGAATTAGTAAAGAGTTTCAGAGATGAGTATTTTAGAGAAAACAGTAGGAGTACTTTTGTTACTTTTCAAAGGAATAGCCTCAGAAGAGTTGAACTTGAGAACTCAATGGGCAGCATTTCCATTGGGGAGCTTTTGGTGAATGTTAAATCATTTATCTTTTTCAGGTAAAGCCCCTCCCTGCTATTCTAGCTTAGCATAAAAAAGATCTCAGCTTCTAATCCGTAGAGGTTAATTCAACTATGAGGCATGAGAAGGTGAATGAATTATGAAGCCTCAAGTTACATACAAATCTTCACAGAACCTTTGTAAATTGGGCCTATAAGTTTGAGTCTATTAGTTCTTTTCTTTGTAAAACTATAATGCAATAGCTAGTTAGCAACTTAGTCTTCCAATAGGATTCTATTACAGATCTTTGCTGAAAGCAATAGAAGGAAATGTAGGAAGGTGTACATTTCCTAAATTAACAAGAGCCTAGAGTGAGGGGGAACGCTACTAACCGTGAGTCACAAACCAGGCATATAATTTATGCCTTGGAATACTCAGAAAATGCTGCATTTTCTTGATAGCAGCAAAATTGTGATTCAACATGCTGTTCAGAAAATAAGATGTACAGAGGTTTCCTTTAAGAAATCAGCCAATTATCCAGAATATGAAGGTAGAAATTGTCCCCAATCTGGAAGTAACAAAGAACAACCAGAAATTATGGCTGGATTTTGTGTTTGACTTGCTGGTATCCAGCCTTGTCAGGAATACTCTGCTTCTCATGAGAGCCCTTAATTTGTTGAGGAAATAAAATAAAAACATTAATGTTATGCTTTATGTCTTAAATGCAGGTAGTACACTGCACTGCACACCTGAGCTCGTTCAGCCTGTGATGCACAAGTCTGGTCTTAGTTGTGTGTGCTCTAGTTTTACTTAAGCATAAGCCAAATTACTACTCACATTCACTATGTGTTTTTGCTTTGCAGTCGGTCCAAAGGCCGTCGAAGAGAGTAATAATCATTCCATTGACTTCCATAACTATTGGATATGAGCTTTAGCGCACTTAAAATGTGCTAAGGATGTTTAAAGTAATTTAATCTCCATGCTTTTCAGGAAATATATTTTTATTAATGCTCCCAGTAAATGACTACAAATAATAATACCTAACATTTATGCAGTGTCTTTTATCCTCAGGATGTGAACATTCGGCATAAAACAGAGTTAATATCAAGCAAAATTATATTTATCTTTATGTGACATGTAAAAGAAAATAACGTTGAGAGAATCGGATGCCTCCAACACAGAAATGATTGAAAAGCTCTACATTCAAATTAAAATATTGATTCCTTCTGTGAGGATCTAGAGAAGACTTGTTTAATGTGCTGTGATGTTGAAGTATTACAGTGATGATATGTTGTCAGTACTTTTTAAAAAAAAAACAAAAAAAACCCAAAAAACCCACCAACCTTTTGCTTTCTAGTAAGCTAAATGCACCCTGGAAGTGTAGCTGAACCAGAGGTGAAGGTTGGTGGTCAGGCTTTTTTCGATACTTGGTTGTTTCCCATGTGCTATCCCATAAGGAGTTAAAGTGTTTGGGGAAAGAGGAAACAGAACAAGTATGTAAGTGTTTAGACTTCGCATCATAATTCCTGCTACCTTGTTTTAAATTTGGGGGTGGAACAGCGAGAGCCTGGTTTTGGCTGCTGCCCAAACAGCTCATTGTGCAACTCAGTTGAAGGAGACTGCTCATATACAAAGAGCTTATTCTTGGCTTAGCTAGAATATAATTTTTGCCACTAAAATGACCAACCTAGGGACTTAGTTAGTGAATAAAAGTGATTCGTGGTTCTCCACAACTGGGATTATTAACTGCGTCAGTTAGGAGCACTGACAAAATGTATATAGATGAGAACAACATTGAACAGTTAATTTTTAAATCACTGCCTCAGTGCAGTAGTAATGTATGTTACAATCCCTGAGAATGAGCAAAAGGAAATTTGCATTTATTATCTTCTTTTTCAACGTTTTTTATGGCATATGCAGTACTAAGGAAAAAAAAAAATCTTTCTGCGATATTCTCATCTCCTCAGTTCAGCAGTGGGTAATACAAGCAGATATTTCAGAAGAAATCCATGCATGGATTTTTTTCATCACTCAAACTTCTGCTTAATGCTTGAGGAAAACGAGATCAGTGGCATGGGAGGATCCCTTGTCGAGGAATGAAGCGCGACACTCTGAGCACAAGCTCATAGTGCTGCCTTTCTCCATCTTTATGGCCTGGTGTTAAGGTGTCTTTGGACTGTGGCACTACTCACTGTATTGAGTGAAAAAAAAACAAATATAAGTAAAAGTATAGTTGGCTGTATCCTGAAGGATCTTGCATACACTGCAACTTTGTCATTTAATTCCAGACTGTAGAAGTTAACCATCTGCTTGAACAGGAACTATAGTTTTGCTTTGTTTTTATCCTTTGAGTCTTGTAAAGTAATACGCATGGGGAATGAGATGTTTTAGTTCTCTGCTGGTTGTTTCAATGGAACATGAAGGTCAGTAAGAAGGCTGGTACCTTTGGGTCTCTGTGGAGTGAGCTAGAGCAGGAAGAGAGAGGAAATTAGCTGTGTATTAATTCTAGCTTCCAGCTTATTTGTCCAGCTTTTTACAAGTGAAAGGGAAAAGGAAAAAAACCAAACCACTTCATCGTTCAAAAGAAAAATATAATAGCAGTGAAACACAGATGAGTCAGTATTTCTTTAATAATTACTGGAATTCAAAGAAAAGCACAATTCACAAATACAACCAGCCCACAGACAACAGAAGAATCCTGATACTTAAGAATGCGGCAATCATGTCTATTTATGTTCTATAAGAAAATACTTTTGAATGATCTTTTAGTTGAAGCCACCATAGCATTTGAGTGTGTAGAAGGTTTTTCTTTTCTGGATTCAGGTGGTAGATACCTCAGGCGAAACTGAACCTTCTATAGAAGAGTAATTGGAGTTACACTGGAGTGAAGAGTTTGGCGCTATATGTTTATTACAGACTACCCAGCTTCTATTTATGGCAGGACTATGGGTCAAGGGGCTGATAAAGCAATAACATACTTAAATAAACTGTGTGATTGCAATTCAAATGCTCAGTAGCCAGTAATTGCACATTCATGTTTTGCACGATATGAAATGTACGGGCCCAACATCTCTGACATAAAACTAGGCTATTTTGCTCCTAACATCCATAACTGATGCAATTTAAACACTTCTCTGAGAGCATATTTAAGAAAATGGGAAGCAGTGTACAAGTGTTACTCATGCAAGCCTGTTTCAAGAGATTCTTTGAACACAGTTATTGATAGGTTTTTCTTACATAACATATGCAAAATGTAATTGAAATTAAATTAAATGTCAGCATGACACCATTAAACAGCTAACATTTGCCATCTTCTAAGACTATTCTGAGCAGTAACTTCGTAATCAGGAATTTACTCACTCTTTTCCTTTCTTTTTTTTTTAATATTTTAGACAAATAAAGGCGATGCCCTTGCAAACCGTGTCCAGAACACATTGGGAAATTATGATGAGATGAAGGACCTGTTAACCAACCATTCCAACCAGAGCCACCTTGTAGGAATCCCAAAGAATTCTGTCCCACAGACACCCATTGACAAAAATGAACAGAACTTTTTCCCAGAACCTAGAAATAGGATGATCCCATCTCATCAGATCAGTGGCCACTCATCGACATCAATGCCTCCGCCTTCTTCATTGTCATCTAATTCTACTTTGCTACACAGTCACCAGAGCAGCCGGAAGTCGAGGACAGACTGGTCACGTGGTGGTCACAACTCTAGTGGGGCCCAGCCAAGCCAATCCAGTAGTCAGCAGAGTCGGACAAAGCATAACTCTTCTCATGACCAGCCACAGGGCAGGTATGAAGACCTCTATAATTGTCAGAGTGAGCAGCATAAAAGTGGAGGAACTGAGGAAGCAAATTCTATGACAGCATCTTCACATTCAAGGAGACATACTCATTCGAAGTCAGCAGCTGGAGAACATACTTACAAAGAAAACAGTCATTCGAAGTCACCCACAGAGCTTGAGTTTGTAGGTCATGGTCCTGGATCTCCACTTCCTTCCACATCTTTGTTATCTGCGAACAATGGTCTTTCAACCCAGAATTTCCCACCAGGACTTCACTGTAAAAACAGCATGGTCCAGCAAAAGCCTACAGCGTATGTCAGGCCTATGGACGGTCAGGACCAGGTACCCAATGACTCACCTGAACTGAAACCTCCGATAGAAATTGAGAGTGGATATGGAAATCAGTCCTTTGGAACACTGCTGGAAGGAAAAGTGAACACACCTAGTTCGAAGAACAAAGTACCAAAGCTCAACATTCCTCCTGTTACTGAAGTAAGTAGTTTAAAATATCTTCTCTCTCGTACTGCTTGAGTATTTCATGCACTGAATATTTTCCTCTGGAAATATGCAGTTCTGTTTCCTGGAATTATGGTCTAAACCATTCCTTTTTTTCTAAAACGTGCATGACTACTTTTGGCAAAGTTTGTTTTGATAGTTCCAGTAGCAATATTTAATGAAGTTTTAAAAGCACAGTTTGGAAAACTAACATTGCTTGTTTCCAATTAATATTAAACGGCTAGATCTCTGTTGGATGCAATACGTTTATACCAGCTAGAATTCTGGACAGAGAACTCTTAATATCTCAATTCATCTGCAGTTTTCGCTCTTCTTGCGTTTTCAGTTAGGAGCTAGTTTGATAGAAAGATTGCTGGTTTAAACTCTAAGGAAAAATGGCAGTGTTCAAATTTCAGTGGTACTAAATAGTTCTACCAGTAAGGAGTTTATTTGCAGAGTTTGCTAAATTCCCATTGCTTTTAATGGAATTAATGTGGCTTGAGTTCTGAGTAATGCTTATGAAAATGTGTCCCATTAAAGCTTTTATGCATTTTGAAGAGCTCTGAATATCGGGATTCAGTCCCAATCTCTGCTATCAACAGTTTAAGCTGTTGCATTTTGTATTGCTGGTCAGTACAGTAGTCCTGTGAGGAACATTTTAGTTGGTTCATATTCGTGTCAATTCCAAGCACAGATGTATAATAAGGATACCAATTGAACTATTTCTACTGTGTATACTTTTTCTCTTATTTCTCTAAAGCAGTAACCTTTTCAAGGTAGGTTTATAGTGTACATACGAGCAGAATTGCAGTATGGGTTTTTCATAGCTTTCTGTTTTCCCCAAAATATTTCCCTGCTTGGTAATATTTTATAGTAGGAATGAGGAGCGATGCATTTTTAAACCACTTTATTGGAAAAGGTCAGCTTTTTCTATTGGAATAATTGTTTCAAGCCAATAATGTGTTTGACTATTTAAAAACTTGATGTTATTTATTAACATTCCAGGCAGCAACAAAGACTGATGTGTTTTGCAGTAGAGCTTGGAACAATTTTCTGGGAACTGCATCTGAAAACAGTAAAAGGCCTATTTATATCAAGTGGAAGCTGAGGGTTGCTTGCAGATGGTGTTTTATTAGAAAATGTATTTGTTAATAAACGTAGCTTTGTACAAGATTACTTTACAGATGTTTCTGTTTATTTTTACCTTAGGTTAAAAATCTGCTGATGTAGATGGCTTCATAGTCTGTTGCGATTTGTCGCTAGCATTGTTTGGCAAGTAAATAATTGCATGCAAAGGAAATAATGATGTTGCAAAAGCAAATACATTTTTTCACTTTTGCCATCTATTAACACTGTGAGTCAACAGAGGCACTTTAAAGTGCAGCATTAATACGAAGTATTTTTGGAAATAGAATGTACCTTTTGCAACTTGTATCAACTATTAAGAATGCATTTTTTTTTTCTTTAATTTTTGAGTGAAATCCTGGCACTGTTGAAATCAGTTGAGCTGTAAGCAATAGGTTTTGGGTGCAGGATTTCACCCACAGTCTTTTTGCATAGTTCTAAGAACCTCTGATGTGAACTGTTGTTTTTGGAAAGATTCCTAGTCACACAGATGAAAAATTATATTGTGAATTTTTGCTATAGCTGCTTTAGTTTATATGCTGCATAGTGAAAAGTATAGGTGTATAATTAATTTCATTTATGATCAGATAAATGTAAACTTTAGGCACTTTAGAAATGAAAGCAGATAATAATCTTAAAACAGTCTGCGTTATAAGAGCAAACAATAATTTGAAGAGGGAAAGAAAACCCAAAGCTGTGTTAAGGTGATGAATAACTTTCCTTTCCGATACAGAACATATGACAAGAGCCAGACTGATGGATCTTTTAGAGGCAAATCTCCTGAGTTTGGAGGGTTGGATTTTTTTTTTTGCCTGTGTCAGGACTGTGAACTTTGGCCCTCTGTGTTTTTCCACAGATGTGTATCTTGAATTTGATTTACCCTGCGTTCAGCAATAAAACTCCTTCCAATCCAACGTTATAGATAACTGGTTTAGTTTAAGCTTAATCAGAACTGACAGTGCACACCTGTGAAACCCATAACCTTTTCAGAATGACTGCAGCGAGTGGCTCTGTTGTAATCTTTATACAATTGATGTGGAGGCTTATGATCCTTCGGTGGTGCTTATCAATTTATGAACCTTCCCTAGCCACCTCGAGCCATAGTGATCTGCTTGAAACAATTTTGCTCCTGCTCCACAGGTTTCCATCCTAACGCTGTTCCAGGTGGTGATGGTGATCTTCTTCAAACTAGCAGTAGGAGAGTTACTTGTTTAGGGCACTTCTCCGTAATTTGTTCTGTGGCTCTCCTGTATCTTTGAGTCCATTTTTTCAAGTTGCTGAGCTTACGCATAGAGATTGCACACCAAATGTTTTTCAGTGATTTCTCTCAAAATTTTGCATGCTTTTAAGATGAGGCGCTCTGTGAAGAAATAAAATTCCTAGGTGATGGTCCTGCAATAATGGCATCTATTAAGGCATTCAAAGTTGGGAAAGAAAAAGACAATTTTTGCTATCTTAAGGAGGGGGGGGGAGGAGAGTAAGTAACCAAATATTTGAACCAGCAGATTTAAAAGATGAGTTCAGACTGATGTGGAAATATGGTCTCATTTATCATGGCTTAATGGAAGAGGATGTTGAGTGCCCTGGAAGCATTCTGCCATGTGTAAGGAAGTGATCAATTTTATAACATAATTTGTGTCACTTGAGGTGTTGCTCTAAGAATCTTTGCTCGTTTGCTGGGCCCAATTCTGCCCTTGGAGATGCCTATCCATCTTTCAGCTCCTCTGGAGTGGACAACATTGTTAATGCCTTGCTGCTGGCATGTCTCCACTGTGCAGTGGATTGTGGTTTAGTGATTTCTGAGCTTGTAGAGATTCACGGTAAGTTCACACAGACTTATGAGACTGGGTCAGCATGGAGTGTTAGCAGCACTTACGCACCTGTGGACTAATCCTTGCCTCTGAGTTGATGCTGTTGTGTGATTTCCAGACCTTGACTCACCCGCACGGAGCTAGTTCAGACCTGTCTGCACCATGCGTGGCCATTCTTGTAGCGAAATAGGAACAGCAGAGCCTCTGTAGACTTTTAATTATGTCCTGTAAGGATTTCTTTGTGACTTTGTGATCCTTTTGATTTCTTTTACCTTTCTTCTTCGTCTTACTTATCAGTAGTGTTTTCTAAGGGTGAAGGTAAAAAATTGTATGGTTTGGTGCCTTGAGTAAAACCCAGTGTAACCACTAGCACCCAGGCTTGCCAGCCTCTGAGATGCAGAAATTGTGAAGCAGACCTTTCAGAACTGGGAGGCCATAAAGCCATCGTGTGACTTCAGGGGGACATGCAGAAACGCGCCCGATATCATGACATAGAATTGATAACAATGGCCCTGGAGCGGAAACTGATAGAAAAATTGATAGAAAGCCTCAAGCTGTAAACATTTCTTCCTGTTCCTTTCTTATTAACTCTCATCTCTTTAGTCTGTATTTATATACATACTTACATACACATATATATTAATTCTGAGCTTGCATTTAACGTCTGGTAAACCGTGGCAAGCCTGGGACATTGCAAAGAACTTGTGTATTATGTAGAATTCCACCTACTTAAATTGTATGATGGCAGATGATTGTTACTTAGCACTCAGAGAACTGCATAGTTAAATCCTATGCATTTCTTCAAAAAAGTAGAGGTTAGAGACCACAATAACAGCTGATCCTCTCTCTCCTGCATTAAAATCCAGAATCTTGATACATGTATGTATATTTAAACCTCTAGGAATCGGATGCTTACAGATTATTTCAAATCAACTAACTCAGTGGGAGATAGCTGAAAGAAAGCCTGTACTTTCCAGACTGGGCTCAAACACAACTTACTGAGAGTACTGAGTAAAGAAAAGGGGTTTAAGGTCTGTGGAAACATCAGAAGATGCATTCCTGGAAAATCTTGTGTGCAGCTCTCCAGAGCAGTGCATGGATTTCCAATAAATGTTTAGGGATGGGAAATCAAGGGCACTTGAGATAATGTTTGATTCTCAAGGCAGAGTTTTTAAATCTCACTGCAAAATTGGCCTCACGTTCCTACAAAGTAGCAAATGCTTGTATACCAAATTTTCCCCAAAATACAAAGCTAGGAACAAATCCAAAAGGCCTACAACATCTATGCCACCACCTACTTAAGTAATAAAAAATGGAGAACTTCTATTTTCACTTTACTTCTAGGAAAATATTTTGATGGGTTCAGTATACTGCAAAGTGATAAGCTTCTGTTATGTGTTTCAAATCATTTTGTTATCGCTGCACGTATTGATTAGCTTAGTACTTTCTCAGCTAGCTATAAAAAAGGCTGCTCTCTTTCTACATTAAAGAGCAAGAAAAATTGACAGGTAGATAACCATATTGATTGAACCTAAATAGTAAATGCAGGAGGCTTATGTATGACTTATAAAAAGTCTTTATAGGAACCAAAGCCAGTTTATTTTTTTTTTTAATTAAATGGAAAGTAGATGTCTTTAATTAACCACCCCCACACCCTTTTGATATACATGCTACTCTAGTTGCCAACTATAGTACATTACCATAGTTGTGGGCAAATCAATTTTTTCAGATGGAAGCTTTAGCAGTCCCCCAGACTTTGCGCTCTGAAGAAGAATGGACTGAATCACGCATTAAGCTGAAATCCCTTTGCTTGGTTCATATTTCAAAAGTCTGAGGCCAAAACCAAACCCAAAGAGCAGTATTTCTTGCAGTATTACAGGTTACAGCCGTATGTTTTTGATTTGTAAATACTGTGAGAAGTAATGTTCTTGTGATACTTCTAAATGAAGACCATATGACACCACTCGATTGAAGACCTCTTATTGTGGCCTTTCTAAGGCTACTGTCCAATTGCTTGGACAATTGCTAGCAAAGCTATTTTGCAGGGATATCAAGCAGACA